TTACGTGAAGAATATCAAAGGAAGGAAAGATCGGCAGAGGCTGTGATTTATGACCAACCAGAGAAAACCAGAAGACCCAGACAGGGGAACAATAATACAAACAAATCTGTGACGTATTTTATTGCGAGTGTTACAAATGGCCCAAAGGATGAGAGCAAAGTTGATACTTATGAAAGATATCAACCAAAGAAGGATAAACTGGTAAGTGATGAACCCGTAAATACTTAAGGCAAAGCTGATGAAAGTAGCAAAGAGGAACTTTCTGACACAGCATGTAGGAGAGCAAACAGGATCTAGTGTTCACACACATGGTTATAAAAAATATAGAGTATGAAATGCTACTGGGAGCAAGTAAACAATGCATACTGGTTTTTGAATATCTAATGATGAATATCATTGAAAGAGGAGGAAGGTGTGGGCAAAGTAAACATCACAAAGAAAACAACATATAATGGACTACAATACCAGATATTGAAAACAAACTGAAGGAAGATTCATTTCTCCTGACAAAACACACGACAGAAACACATCAGCACATGGTTTGAAACGTAGTATCAAGAGGCAAAACAGGAGAAACAAAAGGGAATGGAAGAAATACAGAGGAAGCAGAAATGAAGAGAATTAGAACATCAACAAGAAAGCATGGAACAAATATATGGGGAAAAGGATGAATGTAGGTAACCAATACAAAAGCAGTATTGTTACCAATGAAAAGATTTCTGTGAATAATCAAGTAGTTCCAGCTAAAAAAATGAGAGGGAAGATTCACAGAAAATGAAAAGGTGAGTGAAATATCGACTGAATGATTTTGGGGAGGTATTCACCCTGAAATTGCTTGCTGCACCATTAATATTACTGTGATAGTGATCAATACTGAAAAAAAATGAAAATCCTGGAGCTAGATATGGCAAAGACTGTAGGCCCTGATGAATTCTCACTATTGAACCAAAAAAAGAACAAATAATCATGGTGTATACCCACTGCTTATGATGGAGTTCAGTGTCTGGTAGTTCTAGCCATCATTTTATTCAGTGCGGGCAGTCCACTTCCTGTGCCACAGAAGGTATATTTATAATTTGTCTACTGGCTGCATTGTGGTGTCTGCCACTATTACCCAATTTGTCAATAATACGATGCAGTAATGATCTCCATAATAATAACTGGGCAAAACTATTGTAGAATGCAGATCCCATCAGGAAGGCAACTTAAGAACTAGAGTGCACATCCAAATGGGAACAGGAATGAAGAACTGCCACCAACCCTGATTATATTTGGGTCATCAGAACTGAATGCTCTCCGGGCACACTATCAGAGAGAAACATGAGGAAACTGCCAATAGAGGAGTCCTCATTACCATCAACACCACTACCACCACATTATAGGGTACAAATAATGCAGCTCCTTAACTCACCTCAGCACATAAGAGTTACAACAAAGCTTTTAAGTCAAACTCTTGATGCAACTGTACAGATTCAATCCCTCCCCAGCACACACACACATTAAATGTATACAAAAATGATGATTATGAAGTTGATACAATACTCGTGTACCCCATTAATACCAACCTGCAAAATAAAGAGTAAACCAATGAAAAAGTGAAAAAAAAAAGATCCCAATGTTTCAAGGCAAATATCACCCATCAGGAGGCCTGGTTGAGGACCAGCCTGTGGGAACGTTGAGCCCTGAAGTCATCGCAAGGTAACCCTAAGATACAAAATTGGGATGGAACATCTACTCTCAATATCAAATAAATAAACAGAGAATTACTCCATAACAAAATCAAAAGGCAGACACACAAACACAAATACCTAAGGCTGAAAATTCTAAGTAATCTGCAAGAAAATAAATAGGACTTAGACACAGCAAACAACAAACTTCCAAACTTTACATAAATCAGGTCTTTCATTGGGCCACAGAAAATAATGTGTTTTATGAAGATAATTTCCAGCTCCTACACTACAGAAAAAATGAAAACAACATGGAAACTGCATATAAAACACAATCAAATTACACTATAACATGAAAGAGCAACATAACAGATTTGAGAGTACAGTAATTATGCCATTAGACATTTTTAAAGAACACATTAAAAAGTTGTCACAACTGCAAGAAGAATGACAGATTGGAAAACAAGAACCTTTCAAAGAAGAGATGCCAGACCAGTGATGATACTTTTTAAGACACTAGTGATCTTAAGAGTGAAATATTGTTGCACAATAAAATCCCCATTCAAAGCTAGAAAAATTGCCAACCTGGAGAATGTACAAATATTGTTTCTGCTCAAATCTACTCAATAAAACATCTGAATTATTAACACTCCCATTGCCCTGCTGGACGACCCACTGTGCACCTCAAGGTAGCACTAGCTCACCACCACCTACAAATGTTTATACTGTACTCTTTTTAGCTTTCTCACCTCAATTTTTGTGCTACATCATTTAATTTGGTATCAAACTGTTCGCAATAGGATGCTCTAAAGAAATATGTGCATTTAAGACCATATAAGTCTCACTTTTCTATAGTTTAGACCTACCGCACACTGCAAGTACTGTAACCCCCGCGATTATCCGGGATTCGAACATCCGGAAAACGCCCTTATACGGCCAAAATCATGACCGGATAAAGTTATCTCAATATCCGGCCAAAATGGCCATGGGAGCCGGATAAAAGCTGGTTTGGCCGGTTAAAAATCTGAGCCGGTGGGCTGTACCGTATTAATCCCGTACAGCTGTGGCTCAAGGCCATGGTGTTGGAGGGGGTGGGGTTGGTGGGTGGTGTCGGGAGAGAGGGGAACGTTGGGAGGGACCACCTGGGGGATTACGGTCAGGGAGGGAGTTTGGTCAGGAAGGGAGTTGGTCAGGAAGGGAGATGGTCAGGAAGGGAGTTGGTCAGGAAGGGAGTTGGTCAAGAAGGGAGATGGTCAGGAAGGGAGTTGGTCAGGAAGGGAGATGGTCAGGGAGGGAGTTGGTCAGGAAGGGAGGGAGGGAGTTGGTCAGGAAGGGAGTTGGTCAGGAAGGGAGTTGGTCAGAAAGGGAGGGAGGGAGTTGGTCAGGAAGGGAGGGAGGGAGTTGGTCAGGGAGGGAGGGAGTTGGTCAGGAAGGGAAGGCAGGGAGTTGGTCAGGAACGGAGAGAGGGAGTTGGTCAGGAAGGGAGATGGTCAGGGAGGGAGTTGGTCAGGAAGGGAGGGAGGGAGTTGGTCAGGAAGGGAGGAAGGGAGTTGGTCAGAAAGGGAGGGAGGGAGTTGGTCAGGAAGGGAGGGAGGGAGTTGGTCAGGAAGGGAGGGAGGGAGTTGGTCAGGAAGGGAGGGAGGGAGTTGGTCAGGAAGGGAGGGAGGGAGTTGGTCAGGAAGGGAGGAAGGGAGTTGGTCAGGAAGGGAGGGAGGGAGTTGGTCAGGAAGGGAGTTGGTCAGGAAGGGAGGAAGGGAGTTGGTCAGGAAGGGAGGAAGGGAGTTGGTCAGGAAGGGAGGAAGGGAGTTGGTCAGAAAGGGAGGAAGGGAGTTGGTCAGAAAGGGAGGGAGTTGGTCAGGAAGGGAGGGAGGGAGTTGGTCAGGAAGGGAGGGAGGGAGTTGGTCAGGAAGGGAGGGAGGGAGTTGGTCAGGAAGGGAGTTGGTCAGGAAGGGAGTTGGTCAGGAAGGGAGTTGGTCAGGAAGGGAGGGAGGGAGTTGGTCAGGAAGGGAGGGAGTTGGTCAGGAAGGGAGGGAGTTGGTCAGGAAGGGAGGGAGGGAGTTGGTCAGGAAGGGAGGAAGGGAGTTGGTCACGGAAGGAGGAAAAACTATTGTGGTGTGTATGGGACTCGCTTAAGCCTAACGAAGGAAGGTGGCGTTGGCGGTGTTGCAAGAATTATATTGTTTTCTTATTGCTGTGGAGAGCTAGTTACGAATATTAATTAAATAACACTATAATAGATGAACAGTACAGTACAGTATTTGGTATGCTATTTATTCATTTAAATATTTACAATAAAATAAAATTGGATTTAACAGAACTTAAGGCGCATCGTACAGCGTGTCAACACCCACGTGTCTGGCGACACAGGTGGAGGGGAGATGGGACGGCTGGCGGGAGGGGGGGGAGGGGGGTGGACCAGGCAGATTACACGTGTCGTCTATCTCTGTTCCAGTCTCGCCACTTACCCACCTGTTCAACCACTTCCCTGCCCACCCACCTGCCTGCCCACCCACCTGCCTGCATGCCCACTTACCCACCTTGTTCACCCACTTCCCTGCCCACCCACCTGCCTGCACACCCACTTACCCACCTGTTCACCTACTTCCCTGGCCACCCACCTGTTCACCCACTTCCCTGCCCACCCACCTGTTTACCCACTTCCCTGCCCACCCACCTGTCTGCATGCCCACTTACCCACCTTGTTCACCCACTTCCCTGCCCACCCACCTGCCTGCACACCCACTTACCCACCTGTTCACCTACTTCCCTGGCCACCCACCTGTTCACCAAGTTCCCTGCCCACCCACCTGTTTACCCACTTCCCTGCCCACCCACCTGTTTACTCACTTCCCTGCCCACCCACCTGTTTACCCACCTGCCTGCATGCCCACTTACCCACCTTGTTCACCCACTTCCCTGCCCACCCACCTGCCTGCATGCCCACTTACCCACCTTGTTCACCCACTTCCCTGCCCACCCACCTGCCTGCATGCCCACTTACCCACCTTGTTCACCCACTTCCCTGCCCACCCACCTGCCTGCACACCCACTTACCCACCTGTTCACCTACTTCCCTGCCCACCCACCTGTTCACCCACTTCCCTGCCCACCCACCTGTTTACCCACTTCCCTGCCCACCCACCTGTTTACCCACCTGCCTGCAAGCCCACTTACCCACCTGTCAATCCATCCACCCACCTACCTGCACACCCACCTGCCTGCTTAACCCACCTGTTCACCCACTTCCCTGCCCACCCACCCACATGCCTGCACGCCCACTTACCCACCTGTCAATGCACCCACCCACCTGCCTGCTTACCCACTCACCCACCTGCCTGCTCGAACCTGTTCACCCACCAAGCCCATCTACCTGCCATCCACTCATCCAAAACCCACCTGCCTGAACCCACCTATCCCTGCCTGCCCACCTACCAACTAGGCAGCTAACCACCCATGCACCAGCCCGACACACTAATTAGTGTGTCATTTCAAATCATGCGTGTGGTATAAAAATTGTCGGAAATGGTCCCTTTTGGACTCAGAGGTGAAAAAGTACTATTATCCGGAACATGTGATAATCCGGCTGGGGGTCCTTCCCATATAGTCCGGATAGTCGAGTGGAGACAGTAAGTAATTATCAAAAGAAGGCACCAAACCAGGAAGGCTATGTAGCACCATCAAATGTGCGGGATAATCAGAGGGTGCTAACCGCACACTGCAAGGTAGGCCAAGAGCTTACCACCATGCAAAAATGTTTATAAATGTACTCTTTTTTTTCAGCTTTCCGACCTCAATTTTTGTGCTACGTCATTCAATTTTAAATTGTTTGCAAATTGCAAATTATTGCAATAGAATAACGTACTGTATAGGAATATTTGTAAATAAGAACATATAAGGTTCTCTTTCCTATACTTTGGACCCGCCACGCACTGCAAGGTAGCCCGAGCTTTATCTGAGAGCTTACCACTCCAATGTTTATTCTCGTTTCAGCTTTGTCACCTCAATTTTCATGCTACGCGTTTAATTTTGTATCAAATTCTTTGCAATAGAATGCTGCAAATGGATACAGTTTGCAAATAAGAACATGTAAGTCCCATTCCCAATAATTTAGACCCGCCGTGCATTGCATGGTAGGCAGAGAGCTCGCCACCACACAAAAATGTTTATACTCTTTTCAGCTTTCTGACCTCAATTTTTGTGCTATGTCGTTTAATTTGATACCAAATTATTCGCAACAGAATGTTGTAAAGGGATATTTGCATGTAAGAACATATATAAATCTCTCTTTTTCTATACTTTCAATGAAAACTCAATATGTTTTCCCCTCTTTCTTTCAATGCTTTTGTCAAGAATTGGTTCTGTTCTTGATCAGTATCCATCTGGAAGTAAATTTGCAGTGTTTATAAAGCCGATAACAACAAATACCCGAGATAAAATAACCGGAATGGGGAAACTTTTTGACTCGAGAGAAGGCTACGGCTATCACAAGAACAGCTAGCCTCCAGTGTGAGCGGGCGCCCACACAGCGGGGTCAGGATGCCACATTGGGTATATAGAGAATGGGCAGAAGTTGGTGTGCATTTTAAAACAAGTCGAATAGTATTCAGACAATAAATAGAATTTCTAAATTTTTAAAAAAATATTGACGCCTAGTTGCGTCATCCCACATACTTAGTATTTTGGTTCCGTGACAGAATATGCGGCACCAGGCAACGAAAATGTTAAGACTACCTAAAATTGTTAAATCTGAATTCTTTAAAGTGCAGGTAGGAGAGATACAGAAATAACACCAGATGAAACAAGGAGGCATGGCAGAAGTGCAAAATAGCTCCAATGAAAAACAGAGGTGCAATAGGTAATGAGAGAGAATTATATCAACATCAAGAGCCCAAGTTAGCTCAACACTCCCTCTAAACATAAGGATCATAACTAGCCAATCTCTCACTGTGTTTAATGAAGAACTTAACACCTTCAAAGGATCCCTGATCAACCAGGCTATGACTCGCATGTCAGGCTGTGAGCAACTGAATCTAACAGCCCAGTTGACCAGACCACCAACCAGGAGGCCTGGTCAAAGACTGGGCCGCGGAAACGTTGATCCTCGGAACCAACCTGATCTACACCTAAGGCACCTAAGCAAGAGGCAGATTGCAGAGAACAGTTAAGAACATAGTAGACCATTATACAAAGAAATGTAAATAAGAGAGAAGTTAAAAAAAAAACCATGAAATCTGAGAGCAGTAAAATTAACAATGTTGAATTTGATTTTAGTACTGTATATCATTTTGTGAAGAGTATTTTGTATACATAGTACTTAGAAATATCAAAATGTTTACAGGATCATTCTTTTTTTCATAAATAATAATAATTATTCTTTAAACATTCGGATGACATTTCTCTATCCTGTAAATTGCTATTTGTTTATTACTAGATAATTTATAGTAATACACAAACTAAATTTTTAACTAGAATAGTAAAGTCTACTAGTTAAAAACTGAGTTCATACCAACATGTTAGGGAAGTAGATTTTTTGTGCAAACATTTCATCACTCTGAACAATGCAATGGATTCACACCAGTATGAAGACTTTGTGGTTTATTATTATTATATTAAATTTTCATTAAATTCTATTTAACATTTACAATTCTGATAAGGTTTTTCTCCTGTGTGATACTTAAGCAAATTTGTGTCAAAAGTATTTTAAAGATTCTGAATATTGATGTGATTGCTGTCCAGTGTGAATTTTCGTTCATTACTGGAATAATTTTTAATAAAGTATTATAAATTTTTTCATGGCATCACTTTAGTGAGAGTTCTTTTATGTCACACCACATCAGATTTTTCTACCAAGTCTTGCAGAAACACAATTTCTTTAATTTAAAACCTGTTTCATTTCTCAAAAAATAATAGATTATATATTTAAAGTCTTTTTAAATGCTCTGAACACTGATGGTCTCCCTTCAGTGTGAATTTTCATGTGAGATGCTAGAGCAGATTGTGAAAAATCTTTTAGGCACACTGAACACTTATATGATTTCTCCCCAGTATGAAGTTTCATGTGTCTTACTAGATTAGGTTTTAATGTAAAGACTTTTAGACACACTGAACACTGATGTGGTTTCTCTCTTGTATGAGTTAGCATGTGTGCTACTAGAGTAGTTTTTTGTATAAAGCTTTTGGGACACACTGAACACTGATAAGGTTTCTCCCCAGTATGAATTCTCATATGAATTACTAAATCAGATTTTCGTTTAAAGCCTTTTAAACACTCTGAACACTTGTATGGTTTCTGACCTGTGTGAGTTCTTGTGTGTATTATTACAGCAGATTTGTGAGAAAAGTATTTTAAGCACACTGGACATTGATGGGGTTTCTCTCCTGTGTGAGTTCTCATGTGTGATAATAAATCATACTTTCGTGAGAAGTCTTTAAAACACTCGGAACAATGATATAACTTTCCTGTATGGGTTATCATGTGTGATATTAGAAGAGATTCATCAAAAAATCCTTCTGAACACTTTGAACACTGAAAAGGTTTCTTTTCTCTATGGGTTCTCATGTGTGATAATAGATTAGATTTATCTGTAAAGCTTTCTAAACATAGTGAACAATGATATGGTTTGTCTCTAGAGTGAGTATTCATGTGGCTTATAAAATCGGATTTCTCTGCAAAGCCCTTTATACATTCCAAACACTGCTCTGTTTTATCTTCTGTGTGAGTTATCATGTGTGATACTAGATCAGATTCATCAGAGAAGTCTTCTAAGCACTTTGAACACTTTGAATCAGATTTTGTTGAAAAGTCATTTAAACTCAATTCATGCTGATATGATTCATTTTCTGTGTGAGTTGCCATTGTGTGATGATTCATTAAATTATTCTCAGGGTTTTTAAACACTAAAAACAGAGAAGGCTTATTTTGACACGTTACAATAAGACTTGCATTGTTTGTAGATTATATTTATTTCCTATGAGGATTATTGCTTGAAAACAGAAAAAAGATTTATCTGATTATTTTATTAAACATTTAAAATGAATATAGTTTCTCTTCTATTGAAACCCTCACAAGAAATTCTGAATAGTTTTAATTTTAATTAAGGTCATTTATACACTGACACTTTCTATCTTGTTACAGTTCTTGTTAGTTTCCAGAGCAGTTTCTTTTATACGGAAAGTCATTTTTATATTCTGAACACTGAAAAGTTTTTCCTAGAGAGTTTATCATGTGTCTTCCAGTATGTGACTTATATTCAATTTAAGCATTAATTAGGTTTTTCTTGCTCATAAGTGATAATTATTAGACATACCTGCATCTGAACATATTTTTATATACTGTACAGTACTTTGTTATTACATTGTTTCTCTCACATATAACGGCAGGCCTTAAAAGATTTGTGCGCGCTGGAAAAAAATTGGAAAAAAAGAGAGAGAAAATGCCTAAAGAAAAAAAACACTGAATTGGTTTCTCTCATATATTTTTTCAGATTTCCAGCTCACATATTTAATAAAAATTTGTGTATGTACACTAAATATAATATGGTATCCCTACTTTTAATGTTCTTGTGTGTAATCAAAGCATATTTTTGTTCATGAAATCACATTTGCATTACATTAGTGAACACACTTTCAGATCCTTAACAAGACACTTGGGCTGTTGGGAAGGTAATCCTCAAATCTATCAACATCAACAGCAATTTTTCTTAGATAAAATACCAAGTCTTCTTTTTCATATGAATTTAAATATTTGTTTAAAGTACAAAAGTTTAAAATATTAAAAACACATGATCTCCTCCTATATGAATAGCTGTCTGCATTACAGTACAGGAAAAGTGTGAGAAGGTACTCTCATATCATATGGTTCATGTTAAACAAGGAAAAACTTCTAAGACTTGGGGACACTAAAGTCAAGCAAGTGTTCTTCAATACAGATGTAGACTAATGTATGTTACCAAGGTATATTAATATACAAAGGCTTAATTAAATAAACTAAACTATGAATATTTTCTGTAATGCATTATCGTTACATTATGTTAGATAATGGTTTTTATAAATTTGTTTCAGAACACTGAACAATGATGATGTTTCTTTGATGCTGAGCACAGGATCCTTCGAGTGAAGTGAAAGCTGTTCAAATGTTTACATTCCCTGTACTGTACTGAAAGTTTGGCTTTTATAGACTTGCAACAATTGCATATGAGCAATGCATATTATACTTTACAATATAATCACACACACACACACATGGTAAACAAGTTTAAATAATTGAAGAAAATGATCACTTAAATGGTACATGTTGATACTGTATATTATTTGCTAAATTTATTTACTTATTGCTATTCAATATTACTGTACTGTCCTAAGAATGATTATAATTAATCAAGTTGTCTTTAACTATATATTGCTTATAAACAAGTGAGATGGATGACACTTGTGTATATATTATAAAAGATGGAGAAATCAAACAGGAACTGTATTACAAAATACCCTCTCATAAAGTAATTATGTGACAGCAAAGAGCATTTGATTTTGAATTACCGAGTACATAATACAACATATACAAATACATTGGTTACTACTGATGTACAATGTTCACAAATTAATTTCACAAAAAGTACCAGCATTACTTGCCTTTCTATCAATTAGCCAATGCAGTACTGGAGTTTTTAAAGAAATAACAATCATTTTCATTTAATATACACACTACTTTTGTCAACTTCAGCTCACTTGATGTTTTTGGAATAAATCAGATCAATGATGAACTGTACTTGACATTATTTGAACAAGTGGAGTGAGCTAGTATGCACAAGCTGCTCGGGGTGAGCATACAATAGTGAGGATGTTGCACATGTAGTGCACTGCTGACATTGTGCTCTGTGACACCAAGTGCACAGTTTCTCCAACTTACACGAGCTTCATGGTCTTGGCTGTTGGTACTGCATGACATTCTTCCGGTCTAAGAATTGGCTGCAAAAAGAGAGAAATTATCAGAACTTGAATTATATTCACATGAAAAATCAAAGCTTTTCCCAAGCTATTGGTGTAGGACATACATATTTCTACTGCAGGAATAGTAGAGGATGCAAAATCAAGTGCTCCACCTCCCCTTTAAAAAAAATTGGAGCTCCAACACGAAGGCATCCGAGCCTAACCAAGATCACATAATATGAAGACAGGGACAACCTCTCCCTGTCAACCTAAAGCATCTGCTGTCTGATAAGCACAGCTGAGACTTGGCCAAGACTTTGGTCTAAGAATCTTAGACCTCACAAGCTGAGGATGAAAATAAACACTGACCTAACAGGCAGAATGGTGAAGACAGAAAGGGTGGTTATATGTGAACATTAAGGTCAAATAATGCCCAGAAAAATGGTAAACCATGCCAGCTGATTCTAAGGGAAGAGTAACAACACCCCAGAACGAGACTCACAGAGTAGCCCAGTCTCAGATCAGCAGGGAGCTGAAGAGTGTACTGCATACAGCAAAGGCAGGAGTAAACCATCAAATGTGCCAATCTGAAAATGAACACCCACAGAGAACACTCAAAAGCAAACAAACAGTCCATCCTGACCACCAAATTCTGCAGAAGAGTCAAGGCACATGCATTATCCAGGGCAAGAACCCCTTGACAGAAGACCCGATAGGGCAGACTACAATACCCTTCCAGGAAAGAGAACCCTGACCGATGGCAGGGGCAATGCTGGTGGCAGACAGACGACAAACATGCAATCGAGATATACTCAATATGCTGGCATAAAAAGTATGCACATGAAGCAGAAAAGGAACATAAACACAACCCCTGCACTGGACAGAGTTCAAAAGGAAGGTCAACACTAGCTGAGAACTGATGCTCATGGAGCAGTGAGACGCCCAGTAGGAACAACATTAGGGGCTTGAATTACCGAGAGTGACTGGCCCGGACCCTCAAGTCACCATCTGGTGGTGAGGGGGTTGGTACAAACTAGAGGTTGGGGGTGAAAAACATGTACATAGTTCAAACCAAGGTTGCAAATGTTATCCAAACAGTTGCTATTTTGGTGTGTTCAATGTTTCTGGTGGACTTACATTTGGTACTTGGGTGATCTTCAATCCCCCAGACTCCCATATGTTTTCTGTCAGCGTCTGAATTTTGCCAGACTTACTCGCCCTATTACGGCTAAAATATGTCACCTATGATTTTTTTATTATTTTTCAAGTGACCAGGTAACAATTTAATCTTAGAAGGAATTTGTATTTTTTTCTTGGCACAGCGGTGTTGTCGGCTATTATTAGCAGCACCACCAATGGGTTAACCATTGGGTGGCACAGCTATTACTAGCCAACAACACTGATGTGCGCAAGAAAAAAAAAATCAACTTTTTTTTCTTCTAAGATTGTGTTCCTGATCATGGGAAAAATAATAAAAAATTGTAGGTGACATATTTTGGCCACAATAGGGCGAGGAATTCTGGCAAGATTCAGGTGCTGACAGAGTAGGCATCTGTGGCGATCTCCTCCACCCGAGCTGTCAGGCAGGAGTTGCCACAAAGATATTGTTACCTAATTATTTCAATATATGACTTATTTTCTTTTTTTTTTACAGTAATATTATTCAATAGTGTGTAGTATGATATATTTATATAATAAAATGTGTGAACCATCGATTAACTCAAAAGTATGGTGTGCATATTAATGATATACAGTAATTATTATGTTCATAAAACGATAAATAAATATTTTTGCTGTTATAGTGGCACCTCGACTTATGACTGCCCTTGCTTACGAATTTGTCGAGTTACGACGTAAATTTAGTCGGAAAATGAGACTCGACTTATGACCTTAGCCTCGACTAGCGACTTTGTTGATACGTGTTTAGGTCGACTGAGCATGTGGTTCTGTGGCACTGGGCCGACCCGGCCCCAGTTTACCAGTCACCCGCTTAGTGACGATTGCGCTTTTAAAGAATTCCATTATTTTGGTGCTTTTTGGTTTTTTGAACATAAAACTAGTATCCACTCGATTTAACGACCTATATGGGGCAGTACCCTGGTCGTTATTTCCGGAGCTCCGGTATTTCCGAAGTTAAGTGTCGGTAATTTTTCAAGTAACATTCAGGTAAGATATATTTTGTACAGACTGCCACTGGGTCCACCACTCTACTGCCTTCTACCCTGTGATGTCACAGATTCACGGCACATTGTTTTGATTTGTCATGAGGCTGGAGTATTTATTCCGTGACTTTGTTGGACATATCTGCACACTCAAGGAACATCCGTGCACCATGTTGGCTCCAAATGCACTCATTGTGTCAGTGATGGCTGACTGGTGGGTGGATGGGCAGGCAGGCAGGGATGGAGAGGCAGGCAGGGATGGAGAGGCAGGCAGGGAGGGAGAGGCAAGGAGGGAGGCAGGCAGGCAGAGCTTGGGAGGGAGGCAGGGAGGGAGTGGCAAGGAGGGAGTGGCAAGGAGGGAGGCTGGCAGGCAGAGCTTGGGAGGGAGAGGCTGGGCGGTAGGCAGGGAGGGAGAGGATGGAGATGGAAGGTAGGAAGGAGATTGATGGATGGATGGACTGATGGAGGGATGGATGTTGAGGTGAAGCAGAGAGAGCGTGTGTATAGGAGGTATGGGGGGGGGAGTATGTGTGTAGGTGGTGGGGAAGGGACCGGCTCACGATAAGCCTAACACACTTGACCCAGTAAACCAGACGTTTCTTAAAATTTTGGATGGATGGATGGATGGAAGGACGAAGAGAGGGAGGGTGGGAAGGAAGGAGGGAGGGAGGAAAGGAAGGAAGGAGGGAGGGAGGGAGGAAGGGAAGGGAGGGAGGGAGGGAGGAAGGGAGGGGAGGGAGGGAGAAGGGAGGAGGGAAGGAGGGAGAGGAGGATGGAAG